GCCATCCTCCTCCTGCGGCTCAAGGGCACCATCGCCATCCTCCTCCTCCTCCTCCTCCTCCTCCTCCTCTGCCAAGGGCAGCGCGAGCGGCGCGCGGCGCCCGCCAGGTGGCGCCAGCGGATAAGGCACAGGCGGCGGGCCCGGCCCGCGCGACCCCTCACAGGGCCCGACGAGGCCTCTCAGTTTCTCCAGCGTTAATTTTGTCACTTGTTTTTAGTATCTCCAGTGTATTTTTTCATTTTTTTTTAGCATAAGTCTTTCTGGGCCATTCTGGGGGAAAAAAGTCCTCATAAGCATGGCCTGCACGGAGGGGACCTTCAGCCCTTCCCGGGGCTGCCACACCTCGGTGGCGCTGCCAGCAAGGTGCGGACCCACCTCAGCGGCTGCTCTAGAACTGGGTCTGCCAGTGCCTACAGCCAAGTGCTAAGAGGGCAAATAAAACACTACAGAAGAACAGGAAACAAAGGCTGGGGTGCCCGTAGTCTCCCCAGAGAGGCTCGGCAATTGCTCCATCTGGTTTAATATCTAAGTTTTAGGGGGACACTGTTGTGTCTCCAAATGCAGCTGAAATGCACCAGCTGAATCGTGATTCCTAATTTTGTTCTTTCAGAGAAGTTTCTACAGTAGGTAAACTTGCCCATGAGGGAAACCACATTTCCTACAGAGTGGCCCATAAAGGCACAGGAACAAGCTTCCTCTGGGGACATGAAGGACACTGCAGATATCAGAGGGAGAGGAGAACTGCAATTCTTGCATGGGACCCCTGTTTAGAGCCACACACCTGCAATAATGAGAGGGTTGGTGAGAAGATGAGAGAAGACAAGCAGGTGGCTAAATGAGCAGGTGGCTCATACTGGCCATGCAGACAATGTAAACAGAGGTACTCGAAGTCCAAGTGGCTGGCAGGATATAAAAGCCTATCTAGGACCTACTATTGTGTTCTCTTTTTAATAAAAACTCAACCTATTGCAGTAAAACCGGATGTCAGCATTACTAAAACCAAAGTCTTTTAAAGAATCCATGCTGCTTTTTATGTGGTCAGCTGAACTAAGTTGACCCCATGGAGGGGCACTTTGGAGCTCTGACAAACCATTTGGGGAATGTAAAAATCATCACATTTAGACTTTTGTACAACTGATCTCTTAAGATTAAATATAAACCCCCTCTTAAACCCAATTACTGAAATTGAATATAAATTCAAGTCAAGATAAAACAACTCAATTCCTGAAACCATATTAATGCTGACTGCTGCTATTTGAATTTCATTCTGGGCTGCAGGCATCTGATGCCATCTCCAGTGGCAACAATAAGGGGACGCAAGTTCAGGTCACCTCCAGGGGCCCTGATTGGTTCCCCCCCACAGAACTGGGGACTCTGGAAAGAGGTGAGATTGGCCCATGCCCAGAGGCATCGACTCTGACTGGCACCACGTGAAACTTTCCAGCTGTGGCTGCGTGCAGGGGGCACAAACAGAAGCCCTCAGTTACTGCGCAGCAGAGGAATGAAAAAACTTTTTCTCTGAAAGGAAGATAGCTCTTAATTATAGTGGACCTGGAACAAGGATTGCAAAGTAGCACCAGCTGTGAGCTTGTAACTCATACGTTGCCAGCTGAAGGATGAGAGAGCCAAAAGGGGATGATTTGGAGAAACCCCCAACATGAGCTGGCCCACAATTTGCTGATCATATGGAGTTTATATACAGAATTCTGCTGAGTTGGATTCTGCCACTGAATCTGCTTTTACCACCAGATGCCTCTAAGGACATCTGCTAATCTGTTCAGAGAAATCTCAAAGCAAGACTATAATGGGACGCAAGAGAGGGGGAAATTGAAAGCAATGCCAAATAGAGGCCCATTCTTCACACCAGGCATCCTGAAATGACTTACAGGTGTTTCGGACAACATTCCTGCAGAATTTTCATGTATTATAGCTGTTCACTTTGCACAAATGTCCCCAAAGGTTGCATCCATATCAAAGCAACACATGTGACAAATCTTTTGATTCAGACACCCAACTGGGGTGCTCCCAACAGCTGGATTACTGCAGGTCTGCCATCAGAGGAGGTGTCACAGCCCTCCCTGACCTTTGCTGACACCTCCAAGATGAGGAGCCTCATCTATGAGCCTGGAAGGAGAGTAATGATCCTGTGGGAGGTCACAAATGTGTATGCAGCCCTTCCAGGCTCATCTGCTTCAGTCTCGAGGACTGTCAAACTGAGGTCTGACAAGCCAACAGTGATAGTCCAGAGAGGACAATCAGGAGATCATGGATGTCCCAGTGCAAAGGTAGGTGACAAATACATCAGAACTAAAGCAAAAATCCAAAGCCATGAAAACTGAAGTCAGGCTGATTGATTATTGACAGTCTCAACTCAGCTGGAGGTGTTGAAAAAACCTCAAATCCTCAGAGCATCTGCAGCATTTACCTTTCATGGATGTTCAGCTGGGGTCATTTCAGTCTCTTAATTAGTTCACACACCACAAGTTAATGCTGTTTCCACAAAGCTCTCAGAGCTGTATGGCTGCTCCAAAAAGGTGGTTCTAATCCATAACCACCTGTCCAAGTAGTCACAGAAAGAGGAGACGCCATCCCTGCAGCCAGCCAAGAAGCTCCCTCTGGGTTCAGTAGTCTCCTTCAGGACTAGGGCAGAAGCCACCTCTTGGCACCCAGACCTCAGTGTCCTGCTCTGCTCACGGAGGTGATGAGGCTGGTACTGGGAGCCAGTGCCTGGCCCTGATGCCTGCTGAAGACTTGCTGAAGCCTGGACAGACTTTGGGATGATGTGGCAGGGAAGGAAGAGGGAGCTGAGTGAATAATGGATAGAAGAAACAAGCTCCGTGATCATCTCAGTCAGAGTCTCTCTGCATTTCACAAAAACCAGTTTGATGTATTCATCTGGCTCGGACTCTAAGACTGATGCTGCTCACCCTGCCAGCCATCTGCCACATCACTTTTAGTTCTCCAGGCACACATGGCCAAGAGAACATGCTCCAGGCTTTGGCTGCCACACCACTGACTATCTGCTACCTTTGATTCTGATAGAAAAGCTTTAATACCTGACAGAGGTCAACAGCTTTAACTAACACCTGACTCCAGTCCAGGCTGAATAGGACTTGAACAATCAAGCATGTGTTCTCAGTGAGTCAAGAGCTGGACACTGCCACCAGCCTCTAACCAGGAGGAAGCATTTTCCCCACAGGCAGAACTAGTATCAGCTTCTCTTCCCTAATCCTGAATGACATCAGTGGTCTGAAATGGGAACCTCCCTACAGGTAGAGTGTCCTTGGACCTCCACACAAACCCTGGCTGTATCATCACTAACTTGTCTTAAATGTGAAATTCTTATGAGAAACAGCAACCAAGAAAACAAAAGCATCAACAAAAACCTCCCACAGCTTCCAAGTCCAGAGGAATAAAACGTGAACTGCAACACAAAACAGGTAAAAGGGCAAGACTGTTGCTGCACCAGCGACACTAAGCACAACGCTTTGATTAAGTCATTGACAAATCTGCTTTAGGGCAGAGAAATTTGGAAACATCAGGTAATCAAACTGTGAAGTCTGTGAAAGAACATGATTAATGCAAAAATGTGATGAAACTAACGTTCTTGGCTCCAGAACTTCATGGCACACCCCATAATGGAACCAAATCTGATGGCTTCTTGGCGAGTGGTGCCCCTCTGCGTTCCCCAAACAGTTATCTATGTCCTCCTTGTTTTTAGGTCTGATCAGAATCCAAAGCTTTTATTGTAGCTACATTTCTAAGGATGTGTTTCCCAGGAAATGTACCCATAAACAGAGACGTGTACATGCATATATACTCTGAATAATTGTGCAGAATTTCACTCTTCCCTCCTGAGACATAAAAGAGCCAAGTGTTATTAAATTTACAGTGAGTTCGTTGTAGTTTTCACATAATTTTCTTGATGCACTGCAGATTTTTTAACAGGCTGCTGCTTCCTCTCCTGTTTAATGTTAAGGTACTTGTCCAGGCTCAGCTACACCTTCAACACCCTGGATTTCTGCCTAGGGTTATCAGTCCCAGGGGCAAATGTGTAATTTTCTTTATTCTCTTCTGCTTGCTTTCTGCCCTCCAGCTTTGTGTAGAAAAGAAATACATGGGCCTGCACAGCTCGGGATGCAACAAAGGAGCGGTACAAACTCAGATGACTGAGGCTGCGGTCAGCATTAGACTGATCTTTCATGGATGGCAGAGACACATCAGGATGCATTCTGTGCCTGTGACCTCCAATTACAGGAAGCTGGGCATGACACCAGCACCCAGGCAGGGGCAGAGGGCAGGGACAGAAGCAGACCTGGTATTTGTAGCTCCTGCAGTTAATTTTCTCTTGCTTACAGACCCACTTTATGTCTAATCTTTCATTGCAAAAAGTTGTTTGTGCACATTGGAACATGCTCTCCAGGGGAAGACATACAATATAACTGTGATGCAAAAGAAAGTATTATATACCAAGGCAGATGTTGAGAGGTCCAAAGAACTGCCTGTTTGAGGGCAAACTTCCCCATCACTCTGGGCACCTAAGCAGACTCTTTACACTGCCAAGTTCAGAACTGTAGGAAAGGATGCCCATCCAAAATATTCCATTCCGTGGGGCCTTCTGTAAGTTACAGCAACCCATTGTGACCTGACACTGACTATCCAAACATGAAGTGCCCTTAGGGGAATCCACCTGCCAGTACTGCGCAGGCTCTTTGCAAGTGAGTAGATGCCTACAAACAGCCCTCAAAAGTGCAGGACCATAGGTACAATTTTTTCCCAGTGTGCAGAGGGGACCCTTTTGGAGACAGTCTAAGCAGCTCTCATACCATGCATGCCAGAAGTACTGCATATTAGGAAGAAGGTGCACGGAGGTGCAAGCTGAGTTGTGCGGTGACAAATGACACCTTCACAGAGGTGGCTGGTGGCTGTGAGAGACACTGTACTCTAAATATACAGCAAAGAAGTAAAGATGGCTCCAGGTACTCACACATTGGTTTGAGCTGCCCAATGAGTTCCTCTTTTGTCCACTTTGCCCATTCCTTCTTGTCGGTGTTTATTGAACACAAGATGGGGCCACATGGTTTCCCGCAGTCCTCGATGGCTGGGACATTCAGGTAGTGCACCAACACGATGTCTGGGTTCTGCAGAGAGAGCAGAGCAAGAGCTATGTCAGTGGGCCTCTCCTCTGCCCAGAGCTCTCTGCATTTATGTTCCTAATTAAAACTGTAATAGAAAGCATCATAATCAGATCCCAGTATGTCCTGGATTTCCCCGAGATCAGAGCTGTTCTTTCAAAGAGGTGGCAAAAGACAGACATGACAGTTTGCACATGGATTTCCCCATCCTAAGGGCCCTTTGCTTGCAACTCTCCTGCTTCCCTTGTATGCTCAAATTCAACCTTTTTTCCAAACTCTACAACACCAAATACTTGCAAGAGTCTTGCAAACACCACTTACAATGAATATCAGGTAATTTGGTTTGGTTTAAGGGACCTTTGGTTCATATGAGCCAATGCTTCCATCAGTTCTGGTCCACATCGGGGCTATTTTGAATACACAGAAAGTAGCCTGAGAACATCAGGAACAGCCACACTCTCCAAACAGTGACGGAAAGAGGCGGGGAAGAGCCGAGGAGGCTCACAAACAATATTACAGTGCGTCAACGATGGCCTCTTCATAGTCAAGCCTGGAATTCCTTGTCTTTTGAAGATGTTGCAGCTTTGGGATGAATCCAGCAAGCTGCAGAAGGTGGGGACTGCAAGAGCCCTTTGCAAAGCTGCTGTAGGAGGACAGCGAGGCACCAGCTCCCGCAGGCTGATGAACGCTCTCCTCTCCCCACACACCTTCCAGGGGCTGCGAGGGGGAGGCAACCCCGCTGTGACGCACTGCGGTGCCCTCCCACCGAGCCGTGTTACCACCCTGCGAGCAAATGAATCATCTCAACAACAGCAACAGTAACAACTCTGCCAGTTCCCCAGCAGCATCCCAGGGAGATTGTACAATAGATAATAACAAGATTGAAGAGCTGATTTCTTTCCCTTAAGTCATTTACTCCTAAGTTCGCAAACTTTAATGACTGCTTTGGAATTATTTATAAAAATAAATAGGATAATGGTGTAATTAAAACTCTAATGTTTCATTAATGTTGTTAGAGCCCTGTTCCAAGGGGTAGAGGGAACACAAGGTATCATTCACGTGCAAAGGTTGTGCTAATAGGAGCACTTGCTTATGAAACCAGGGGAGGGCTGGAGCAATACACAGACACCTGCACCAAGGAGACTTATGGAAGGGAACTTCTGATGGGCAAAGCACAGCACTGAGGCCCAGCATGTCAGAAACTGCACCTGGAGCAGCCCAGGGCAGGAGCAGGGCAGCACTCACCACCTCCAGGTGCAGGGTGACCATGCACCCCCGTGTGCCCCCCGCACCCAGGGAGCATCCTGCACATCTCTGAGATCAGGGGGTGGCTGGTCACATCTCCCAGCTCCTCCAGGCTGGCTAAGAAGGTGACAGCAGTGGAGAGGCCACTGTGTACAGCAACATGACAAGCAGAGCAGCCTCCTGAAGTGTGACCTCGATGATCAGAAACATCCCTCTGTCTGGAGGAGAAGTTCTTTTAAGTTAGGAAGACATGCAAGCAGGAACTTACATTTTTCCCCTCCATGGATAGAACTGCAACCAGGGGATTCTCAGTGAAGATTCTGTGAAAATATAGTATCAAATTCTTGCAGCCTGTTCTAAAAGAGTTGTGTTGCACAAGGAGGCGGCAAGGAAACCTTGTAAGGAACACCTAACTATTTCAGAGCAGTTCTGGAAAGTGCTAAAGCAAAGAAAACTGTTGGTTCTTCTATTCCCAAGCTTCTTCTGGAGACAAACAACTGAATCTTTTATGTTTAATTGTGAAGTGTTCAAAACGTTCCATTTTCCAGGACACACCTGCCCCAGATGAGAGACAGCCAGAGGACACAGGAAACCATCACATCCTCCCTTTCCACAGTGAGGAGATCTGAAACATCACAGTCCTCGTGCATAATTCAGAAAAGGTTCAGGTAATAAAAATGATTACCTATACACCCAAATAGTCTCAATCAGCTAATTTAATGTAATTAGTGATCTAGATGATGAAGTAATAAAAAGTAATATGCTTCAGAGATTTCATGTAAAGACACCTCTTGCTCTCAGAGAAGTTTCAAAGAAGGGAGCAAGGACATGCTGCCACCACAGTACTGGGCAGTTCTGCAGGTGCTTCTCCCTTCCTCTCGGACAGCTGTGTTTTCCACAGCCTGATGGTGCCCGTTTGTCAGGTCTTCCTGACTTCACTGCAGCACAAGCAAGTGGACCTCAGCAGTGCATTGGCACTGAAATTTATATTTTTTATATATAAAAACATAAAATAAACACAAACCCAACATGTTTGTTCCTTATGTCTACATCTAAAAGTTGACCTCAGATTGACAAATCTCATGAATGCCAATCTATTTGGCGAACTGAAATGTTTTGACAAAAAATGAAGAGAATAGGTGTGTTTTGGAAAACTTAAAATCAGCAGTGAATCACTATTTGTGCTGACCTACCACCAGGAGAGCAAGAGAGATGTGAAAGACTAAAAGAAAAATTACAAATGTTAACTTCCACGTGGGAACAGTGCCATGATAGTGGACAAGCCACAGCAGAAGCTCTTTACTGGGGTGGAAGGGAGGGGAGCCCTGGACTGGGCTGCAGATGGCTCTGAAAACGTGCCTTTTGGAAAGCAGCCCATCATTCCAGTGCCCAGAGTCTCAGCAGAGCTGTTTCCCTTCCCACACAGCTGAGTCGAAGGCACTGCCATCTGTCCCTGACCTGGGCAAGGCTCCTTGGCTCCTCCTGCCATGCCGGGGCATCTCACCTGCCTCCTCAGTGTGGGGGAGGAATGGGCTCCACTGCTGCTGTAGGATGAGCAGGAGATGGTGCAACAAGCAGTTAAACACAAAAAGCTGATAGTTTTGATAAAGAAAAATGCAACTGCAACATCTGTCTGACTCTTGTTTGAAGCTTCATCAGCACTAAGTGGTCCATAAATCAGACTGGCATGGCGTTACATTTCTTCCATGGCTTAACCATTAATCTAGTGCCAATTCTTATGAAAAATGAAGGAGAAAAACTACACGATGGTGGAAGTGTACATATTATCCAGAAAGTGGCAATGGCACATAAGGTGCTGCAGCCCTCTGTCCCAGTGGCTGGAGCAGCGGGGCAGCTTTCTCTGCTACTCACCATGGAAATAACTGAGTAAAACAACGTTTGTTCCATTAGCCTGCTCCATGCGGGTATTTTTCACAGGAGCAGAAACATAAAACTGAAATAAAACTGAAACAGTTCTGGCAGGTGTGGGGGCACAGGCAGCCAGCAAAGGGCTGGCTGACACTGGTGTGAAGGAACAGACAGTTCCTGCAGCGCTCCAGGTCAGCTCAGCCATGGGGGAAACCCTCCTTTCATTTCAGCAACCACCTTCTGCCTTCATTTCCCAGAGTCAGTCCCCCACAAAGGGAAGTCTTCCTTCTCAGGTAGAATAATCACAAAAAACCTCCCCCTTCCTTCTGTTCTCATCCAAAAGCATGCTGGTTTGGTTGTCTTATTTCTTTTTGTTTTAAAAGCAAAAAGCAAAAGCCATTTCTGGCCAGCTTCCAGCTGCTCTTCAGCTGCTCAGCCAAGGCAATCAGCTCAAGGCAAAATCTCACTGGCAGAGGCTCCCAAATCACCGATGACCACAGCTGAAGATAATTTTATTTGGAAAAATACCTCTGAGCTGAAAGTTTTGCATTTGTACTCCCTGCTGGAAGGATGAAAGGAAATAAATCATCCTCAGGGATGATGAGCATTGGTGAACTTAGTCCCAGCCAAGAAACTACCCCCAAGCACAGCCACTCGCCCCACTTGGCACTGGACACCCATGTAAGTTCTATTGTGTCCAACCTGCAAAGTACTATGTGTGGTGAAGCCTGTTCCAACCTTAATGGCTAAACCACAAAGCAGAAAGGTAGAAGGAGCAGCAGAGCATGGCAGAGGAATGCAGAGGCAGCTCCTGTGCCCCTTTCCTCCCTGTTCACCCCTAAAATTATAACAGGTTTTCTCTTTTCTGACAACTATTCCTTCACAAAGTATCCTTCGAATTCCTCAAACAATCCAAAAAGCTGAAAAGGAATCTCAGCTTTCTGGGAAGATAATTCACATCCACTGCTGTGCAGTGACTAGATCAATATCCACCAGATTATTACGCCAAGAAACGATAACACTAAGAGGTTTCCGTGGTTTCGAGGGGCTTCTGTTACATGTTGCTTCAGTACCCACAGGTAACTCAGGGACAGGTACTGGGAGTGTCTGTGCATTATTGATATGCTATCTAAAAATCAAATCAAGGAAACCATTTCCAGACACGTGGATGACAGAATCTTCTACTGCTCATAGCAGTGTCTATCTGGAGGGTTTCCTCTGGATTTTTCAAGGTTTGAGAGTGGAGCCTGGGATACCTGAAGAACAAGGCAAAACGATACAACACAGACACAGAAATAATGGAATTCTTTCCTTACAGAGACCAAATGGTAGCTTTGGGCAAGATTACTGGTTTGAATCCCAGCAATTTCTTTATCCTTGAACTAATTTTTAATTGAGGTCATGCTATAGAAGACAACCTGGTGGCTGATGTACTAGAATATGTTTATCTTCCACACTAATCGTGAAAACAAAAACATTGACTTTCAATGCACAACCCATTGCCTTAGAGCTGGGAATGTTTAATTACACAGAATGAGACAATTACCAGAGACGTAGGACAACCCTGGCTCCTGAGCTGAAGCACTGGAGCACAGGGAAGAGAGTGGGGTCCCAGAGCTGGACACAAAAGCAGAAGTTGTGCTGTGGAGTAGAACTCCTCCTACTGGGAAATTCCTTTTAGCCAGTAAAGCACTTTGAATTAGCTTTGTGTCCTATGGCTCCAGCTGACAAAGGAGCTGGTGGAAATTCTGTCCCTTCAAAAGATTCCTCAGGAAGAAAGGAATGCCAGGCGTCAGCCGGGCAAAGAAACACTGGTGCACATATGGTTTTAAATGCAGTTAAATCAGCATCCTGACATGCACTGGCTCAGAAGCTGCTGCCAGTTGGCACTG